GGGGATTGGAACTCCTGAATCCAGACAGACGTATCTTCGGCCCCCCTCCCCCTTCCTCGCATTATGTAAAAGTAAAAACAAGTTGGACTTTAGATGATAAAGGATGAGCAGACGTTGGCTTCTAACCAGCCATGAGACATTAATACTCGGCCTTTATCAGAGGGACTGATTTACTACCCAAGTGTGACACTAATGCAGATTTATTGGTCCTGTAGTTACCATACGGGAATGTTTCACTGTATGCATCAGCCGAGGGATCGGATTGTGAGCTATTCCTCGGACGTGTCTGTTTTCTGTCATCCTACGGGGCAGACATCACTTCTCAGGGCTCATTCAGACTGTTGTGTTGGGTCCATGTACTGCAACATGCATGCTGTACCACAACGCAGGGCGACGGGCATGCCACTTTCACCCCATTTTGAATGGCACTCCGATGCATTACTACAGGGGTCCTCGGTGTACTGTCCTCCAGACATTAGAGGGGCCTGTGACCAGCGAGAGCAGAAAATGTCCCAGAATCGGTGGGAGTGAACAAGTTTTCAGGGTTGGTGGTCTTTGGAGTAACAAATTAGCTAGTGTTCGAGGTCAGGGGAGGAGGAATAATGAGCTACCATGGGAGGGAGAGCGCTCCACCACTGAAATCGATGAGAAAAACAATGTCTCATTGTTGGTGTCAGTGGGAGGAATAGTGCCCCATCATTGGTATCAGTGGGAGGAATAGTGCCCCATCATTGATATCAGTGGGAGGAATAGTGGCCCATCATTGGTGTCATTGGAAGGAATAGTGCCCCATCATTGGTATCAGTGGGAGGAATAGTGCTCCATCATTGGTGTCAGTGGGAAAGGAATAGTGCCCCATCATTGGAAGGAATAGTGCCCCATCATTGGTGTCATTGGAAGGAATATTGCCCCATCATTGATATCAGTGGGAGGAATAGTTGCCCCATCATTGGTATCAGTGTCAGGGGAGGAATAGTGCCCCATCATTGGTGTCAGTGGGAGGAATAGTGCCCCATCATTGGTGTCAGTGGGAGGAATAGTGCCCCATCATTGGTGTCAGTGGGAGGAATAGTGCCCATCATTGGTGTCATTGGAAGGAATAGTGCCCCATCATGGGTGTCATGTGGGAAGGAATAGTGCCCCATCATTGGTATCAGTGGGAGGAATAGTGCCCCATCATTGGTGTCATTGGGAGAAGGAATAGTGCCCCATCATGGGTGTCAGTGGGAGGAATAGTGCCCCATCATTGGTGTCAGTGGGAGGGATAGTGCCCTATCATGGGTGTCAGTGGGAGGCATAGTGCCCTATCATGGGTGTCAGTGGGAGGAATAGTGCCCCATCATCCCCATCATGGTGTCAATGGAGGAATAGTGCCCTATCTTTGGTGTCATGGGTGTCAGTGGGGAGGAATAGTGCCCCATCATTGGTGTCAGTGGGAGGAATAGTGCCCCATCATTGTGTCAGTGGGAGGAATAGTGCCCCATCATGGTGTCAGTGGGAGGAATAGTGCCCCATCATTGTGGGAGGAAAGTGTCATTCATTGGTGTCAGGAAATAGTGCCCCATCATGGGTGTCAGTGGGAGGAACAGTGCCCCATCATTGGTGTCAGTGAGAGGAATAGTGCCCCATCATGTTCAGTGTAGTGACCCATCATGGGAAGGAATAGTGCCCCATCATTGGTGTCAGTAGTGCCCATCGTTGCTGTCAATGGAAAGAATGTGCCCCACTGTCAGTGGGTGTCAGTGAGAGTAAGGCATAGTGCCTCACTGTTAATGTCATTGGCAAGAATGAGAGTAGTGCCCCATTGTTGGTGTGCCCCAGTGGGAAGAATAGTGCCCCATTGTTGGTGTCAGTGGGAAGAATAGTGCCCAATTGGTTGCCTTCAGTGGGAAGAATAGTGCCCAATGGTTGGTGTCAGTGGGAGGAATAGTGTCCCATTGTTGGTGTCAGTGGGAGGAATAGTGCCCCATCATTGGTGTCAGTGAGAAGGATAGTGCCCCATTGTTGGCTTCAGTGGGAAGAATAGTGCTCCAATGTTTGTGTCAGTGGGAAGAATAGTGCCCCACTGGAGGAATAGTGCCCCATCATTGGTATCAGTGGAAAGAATAGTGCCCCCCATTGTTGGTGTCAGTGGGAGGCATGAGTGCCCCCATTGTTGGTGTCAAGTTAGAGGAATAGCCCTCCGTTGTTGGTGTCAGTGGAGAAAAAATAGTGTCCCAATTGTTGGTTTCATTGTTGGCTTCAGGGGAAGAATAGTGCCCCAATTGTTTGGTGTCAGTGGGAGGAATAGTGCCCCATCATTGGTGTCAGTGGAAGGAATAGTGCCCCATCATTGGTATCAGTAGGAGGAATAGCCCCCATTGTTGGTGTCAGTGGGGCAGGAATAGTGCCCTCCATTGTTGGTGTTGGTGGAAAAAATCATTGGTTTCAGTGGGAGGAATAGTGCCCCATCATTGGTGTCAGTGGGAGGAATAGTGCCCCATCGTTGGTGTCAATGGAAAGAATACTACCCCACTTTTGGTGTCAGAGGGAGGAATAGTGCCCCATCATTGGTGTCACTGAGATTAATAGTTTCTCATCACAGGCGTCAGTGGGAGGAATAGTACCCCATCATTGGTGTCAGTGGAGCACGGGATCTGCAGGTGAGCGTTGAAGAGCACCTGTCACTTTTCCTGACATAGTCCATTCATTATATATACATTCATCATCTCACCTGCCTGACAAGGTTCACATGGCGCTCCTGTGTTATGTAAAGCAGAGCGGATGAGTCACGGCATATCTGACCTGCGAGGTGCCTGGGGTGTCTTCCACAGCCAATGGATCACTAATCCCAAAAGTACCCTGGGGTGGGGCACATGGGAGGGGGCTGCCCTGGGGTGGGGCACATGGGAGGGGGCTGCCCTATAGGCAGGTACTCATTACTAGTCATTAGGGCTCCACTTACCCAATCCCTCTGATTGCCATCCAGATTTTACGGAGGAGCTGCAACTACACAGCAGGACGGTTGTGTAAGTCATACAAACAACAAAACAAAAAAGAAGGAAAAAAAAAAAAGAACATGCAATTCATTGCAACATTATTGCAGAATTGGAACTCACTAGAATCTCATATAATCTTCTTACATAATAAAATGTTATGAGTTCATTAAAAAAACTTTGATTGACATATAAGGCTCCTTTCACACTTATGCGACTTGTCATGCGACTTTGGGGTCGGATAATGGGGTTAAATTTGCTAACATGCACTTTGCTAGGGCATTTGCACCAGAGCTTAGTAAATGAGGGGAAGCTCTGCTGACTTCCATCATCCACTCAATTGCAGGCAGGGCTGTTGTTAGAAACCACGGGGCCCCATAAAGCAAACCTGGCAGGGCCCCTCCACCAAAAAAAAAAAAGGTATGCTTCAGTTATGAATGAACACAGTGAGTAATTGTTATCGATCACTTGTGTTCATTCAGGAAAGGAAGGGGCTGGTAAATGTGACATAATTAACAGACCCTTTCCCCGCTCTGCATCCTGAAGGATCCTATTGTGCGCTTGCAGATGCCGGTGGAAAGGGAGCCGGAAGCACTGTAGGGGTGCACAGGGGGGCCTGGGCAGCAGGGGACACGTATGGTGCGCAGGGAGTGTGATGGGGGGCAATTACTAGAAACCGACCCCCTGTATCGCTCTCTCTGCTGCAGCTCAAAGCCAACGGGAGGAAGAGGAGAAGAAGCCACCCTCTCTGCCCACATCTCATTCAACTAGCTGCCTGGGCCCCCCCCCCCCCACTGGGCTGGGTCCCATACAGGAGGACTGGTGGTACCCCCTTATCCACAGCCCTGAGTGCAGGCAAAAATGCTGTTTTTTTTTTCATTTTCCTTGTACATGATTGGGTGTCCTTTGCAAAGTGAAGCTTCACCTAAGTGACTAAGAATCTGCAAATGCAAAGTGCACGGTCTATTTGCCTTTAGTATACCAACCCCATTATCTGCTTTTCCTGGAGTTCAGCTTTGAGTGCAGGCTGATTGTGAAAGATTTCGAATGGCTCCCTCATTCGGGTTAGATTTCTCAGGCTGACCCTCAGGCCTGGGAGTCGGAGATGAGAGGTCACCTGACGTCTAACATTTCCCAGTCTACCAACTGCTAATGACCGCGGTCCAACACAACAAACACTTTACTCCTGCGCTAGGAAAGGACTCAGTAGACCCAATAGGAATGTTCTGGAATATTCTGGAATATGCACTGCTTGCTGCCCTCAACAGACCGGGGTGGTCCAAATAACCTGGATACAAATGGATGACCAACTGGCTAACACGTTTTGAGGTCACAACCTCTTCCTCAGAGCCAACCTCGTGTCCTCGAAAACGCGTTAGCCAGTTGGTCATCCAGGGTTCCATCGTATGGATGTTGTTTGGATCATACATCTTGTTCAGTTTGACATGCCTGCGTTATTATGTCCATTGTGAGTATGATACTTATTTTTGTTTCTTTAACCCCTCGCCTACCGGGCACTTATACCCCCTTATTTACCAGGCCAATTTTCAGCTTTCAGCGCTGTCGCACTTTGATTGACAATTGCGCGGTCATGCAACATTGTACCCATATGAAATTTTTATCATTTTTTTCTGACAAATAGAGCTTTCTTTTGGTGGTATTTAATCGCTGCTGGGCACTTTACTTTTTGTGCTATATGCAAAAAAAGTGCAAAAAAATTTGAAAAAAAAAAAGTTTCTTTGTTTCTATTATAAAATTTTTAAAACAGGTAATTTTTCTCCTTCACTGACACTGATTGTGCGTTGATGAGGCAGCACTGATGGGCACTGATAGGCGGCACTGATGGGTACTGATAGGCAGCACTGAAGGGCACTAATAGGCGGCACTGATAGGCAGCACTGAGGTGGCACGGATAGGCGGCACTGATAGGTAGCACTAATGAGGTGTCATGGATAGGTGGCACTGATATGCGGCACTGATTGGTGGCACTGATAGGCGACACTGATAATGGGTACTGATAGACAGCACTGATAGGTGGCACTGACTGACATCGCTGCTGGGCACTGACTGGCGGCACTGCTGGGCACTGCCTGGCACAACCGCTGGCCACTGACTGGCACAACCGCTGGGCACTGACTGGCAGCACTGCTGGGCTGCACTGATGGGCACAGGTGGGTGGGCACAGGTGGGTGGCACTACTGGGCACAGGTAGGTGGCACTTCTGGGCACAGGTGGTGACACTGCTGGGTGGCACAGGTGGGTGCACTGCTGGGCACAGGTGGGCGGAACTTGTGTGTGGCACTGCTGGGCACCGATCATCAGGGCACTGGTGATCAGTGACCCTGATGATCGGTGCCGATCCCGCTCTGACAACTGCCAGTTTTCAGCAGTACTTTCCTCACGATCTGACAGCGTGAGGAAAGTGCAGCCGAGAACCGGCAATTGCATTTCCCAGTGATCAGCGTGTCATTGGACACGGCTGATCACGTGGTAAAAGGCTGCTGTGATTGGCCTTTTACCACGTCGCATGATCAGCTGTGTCCGTAGGACACAGCGATCACGGAGATCACCGGGTGCACGCCCCTGGGGGCGCGCAGGAGAGCGCGTTCTGGGTGGACGTCATATGACGTCCACCCAGAACTGGCCGGCCGCAGTGCAGCCGTCAATCGGCTATCTGCGGTCGGCAAGTAGTTAATAAATTATTTTAAACGATAATGCACTAGGTCAGTGCGCCCTTTTTCTGTTTCTCCATTTGTATCTAATGACTGCCGTCTCCTGAGTGTGCATAACAGTATTACATGGACAAGCCCATTCATTAAGTGGTGGTGACTCAAGTGCTGGAAAGCAGCGTGTTATTAGTGTGGGTTCAAACAGACGACATAAAAGGGACCTGGAACCTCTAGCTCCACGAGTCATCCTATGAGAAACCAAGTACACATAAATAGATGGAGATCCACCCTCCCTCCCTCACTGCCTGTACTGGTGACTGTTGAGCCAGCAACTGAGAGGAAATCCAAAATGTTACAGTTGTCACCAGAACAGGAAGTGAAAGGAAAACCTTCCAATGGGGACACCTTTTTTGGGTCAAAAAAGGGAAGCCCCCCTTAAAGATTTCCTTTCCTTCCCTATTGTGTGTACAGAAAGGAAAGGGAAACCTTGCGTCTTTCAGAGGAAGGTCTGTAGAAGGATATGAATGTAACCTTTTTGTGACCATTTTTTTTATCAAAGCAGAGTTTCACACTTCCCCCTATTATTTTTTTTTTCTTCTCCCCCACTTAACTGATGCTGAGATGGCCACAGTTGAGATACTCAGACACACAGAGGATCCAGAGTTGTCCTGTTGGAATCCTCTTCTCTGCAGCCCCCCTGGTTCCTTTGTGACGTCATCGGGGGACTGTGCCTGCTCTTTTGGGTTCAGCCTAACAATCACGTGCTGCTAGGCCCACCCCTTCCTCTGCTAGTGACTGGGGTGATGTTTAGGGCTCCCAGTACCTTTTGAGATATGAATGTCACATATTCCAGGAGGTGCCAGGGGCACTAACATCATTCGCCTAGATCGTGGTGGGCTGTGGCTGTTGTAGAACTACAAGTCCCATGAGGCATTGCAAAACTGAGTTACAAGCAAGACTCCCAAAGGCAAAGGCATGATGGGACTTGTAGTTCACCAACAACTGGAGGGCCACAGTTGCCCACCCCTGGCCCACAGGCCGAATCTGGTCCTTCAGGCCATTTTATGTGGCCCTTGCACCTCTCCTGCAGGTACCCCCTTGTCTCCATCCCCACCTTGTCTCAGCAGTCTGCAACAGAGAGGAGAATAGAACTCCTCTGCCAAATCCTGCACTGCTCTGTGCAGCCACAGCACTCCCTTGCCTCCACCTCCCCTGGACTCAGCATTCAGCAGACTGGCAGCTGACTCCAGCCATCCTCTGGTCCTCCTCCAGACCCGGCACTTTTTGCATCCCAGCACCACCCTCATATTCTTCCCAGCAGCAGCACAAGATAAGTAGGGATGCACTGCGATGTAAAGGAGGGTGGAGGACTCATGACTTCTGATAATCTAGTCTTACAGATGCAATTTGACCTTTAAGGGCAACCATAATGTTGTTGTGGCCCACAATGAAATGGAGTTTGACACCCCTGGCCTAGATGAATGATGGAGGATAGGGGAGCTGGCTTGAAACAAAAGCTCCACAATCTGTGGTGTCAGTAGGAAGTATTGAGAGTTTAAAAAAAAAAAAAAAACTCTTAGATGGGCATCTTAGTGAACACACTATACAGGGATATGATTTTTGACGTGAACACAAACACAACCACATAGGTTGAACTGGATGGTTTTGTGTCTTAATTCAACCTTACCAACTATATATCTAGGGAAAAAAAAGTTACAAAACATAAAAAACCCGATCTATATATAGCAGTGGGTGGGCATGTTGCAGAGGAGCCAAGTCACACAAATAGGTGAAGATCCGCTTTAAGCTTGGATCCCTAGATATAGGTGTCCTACAACCAGGAGCAAGTTCTCTGTTCAACGTTCATCCTCATACCTTCCACCAGGGACACCTGACCTGGTGACAACTTCCTTGGACAGGGGACCATATCCATGGGGGGAAAGGATAGTCCAGATGATTGCAGTAGCATACCTTGAGGTGGAAAGGCAGCAGAGGGTACTGAGTGTCCGATAACTACGGGGGGTACTGGAGACTGCCAGGACACATGGGAGAACATTGGAGTTGGGACACACAGAGGTGCACTGGAGACACAGGGGAGCACTTGGAGACATTGGGGCTCATTTGGGGTCATAAAGGTGCACAACGGCCCACTGGAAACACGGGGGTGCATGGGAAGTTTTGAGAGAACACAGGGGCATGCTTGAAGATATGGGGGCACTCATGGGTGTCCTTGGAGACACACACAGGAGCGTGTAAGGGACGTGTTAGTACATCATTCCCAGTTTGGCCATTATAATGTGGATAATAAGAGAGTAATAGGACTTCAGGCAGAGAATCAAGAAGACAGAAGAAAGACTCCGGAGATAGTCTCCATGGGACTTGGTGGTGCCCTGTCTGCAGAGATGAAGAGCTTCCAGTGATTGATATTTCCCAGCTGGGGAATACATGGAGAGGTCCTGGTGCCCAGAACAGGAGGGAGTTGGGGAAAGGACATAGATGGCCTGATCTGGGAAAGTGTTGACAACCGCTACCCTAATTGGTAGGAGTTGTGTAGTTATGTGCTCAGACGTTGTGTGCCTGAAGTTGTGTGACCTGAAGTTGTGTGGCCTGAAGTTGTGTGGCCTGAAGTTGTGTGGCCTGATGTTGTGTGGCCTGAAGTTGTGTGCTCTGACGTTGTGTGGCCTGAAGTTGTGTGGCCTGACGTTGTGTGACCTGACGTTGTGTGGCCTGACGTTGTGTGGCCTGACGTTGTGTGACCTGACGTTGTGTGGCCTGATGTTGTGTGGCCTGACGTTGTGTGACCTGACGTTGTGTGCCTGAAGTTGTGTGGCCTGAAGTTGTGTGGCCTGACGTTGTGTGGCCTGACGTTGTGTGACCTGAAGTTGTGTGGCCTGACGTTGTGTGACCTGAAGTTGTGTGGCCTGAAGTTGTGTGGCCTGACGTTGTGTGACCTGACGTTGTGTGACCTGAAGTTGTGTGGCCTGAAGTTGTGTGGCCTGAGTTGTGTGCTCTGACGTTGTGTGACCTGACGTTGTGTGGCCTGACGTTGTGTGACCTGAAGTTGTGTGACCTGAAGTTGTGTGCTCTGACGTTGTGTGACCTGACGTTGTGTGACCTGACGTTGTGTGACCTGACGTTGTGTGACCTGAAGTTGTGTGACCTGAAGTTGTGTGACCTGAAGTTGTGTGACCTGACGTTGTGTGACCTGACGTTGTGTGACCTGAGTTGTGTGACCTGACGTGTTGTGTGGCCTGACGTTGTGTGGCCTGACGTTGTGTGGCCTGACGTTGTGTGACCTGAAATTGTGTGACCTGAAGTTGTGTGACCTGAAGTTGTGTGTGACGTTGTGTGACCTGACGTTGTGTGACCTGCAGTTGTGTGACCTGCAGTTGTGTGGCCTGAAGTTGACCACCTTGAAGATATCATACATGATTTATATAGCGCTTTACAAAATGAAGGCGGACATTACAGTTACAATACATTTTGGCACAAGAGGAATTAGAGGGCCCGGCTTGTTAGAGCTTACAGTCTAAGAAGATGTGAAAGTAAAGTTTTGAACATTCATTGGACTTTTCTTGCTACTGTCCTTTGAACTGCTACCTGGCTCAGCTGGGAAGAATGTGGGGTGAAGTGTTGGGCATGGTGATGTTCATGTGTTGGTGGATGTAAATTTCTTGGCTCCCTCTTGGAGTGGGGGCCCACACGAATGTAAATTAGGACAAACAGCCTGTTGGTGGTGCCCGGGAATGAAACATTTTGCCCATGTTCTGATGGCCCTGCAGTAGAGTAATGGGGGCATACAGGGGTGCACTTGGAGTTCCATGGGTGCACATGGGTACACTAGAGACATAGGGGTGTATGGGAGTCATGAGAGTGCACAGGGGTTTATTTGGAGATACAAATGCTTAGGGGCATACTTGGAGTCAAGGGGGTGCTCAGGGGCACACTGGAGATAAAAGGGGACACAGGAGTCACTGGAGACTCAGAAGTGCACAGTGGTCAATGGGGTCGTTACAGACACAGAGGTCACTGGAGACAAGGGGTCAGTAGGGTTATTGTAAACACATGAGTCACTAGAGACACAGGTATCACAGGAAACACACTAGGACACAGTCACTAGAAACACAGGTATCACAGGAAACGCAGGGGCACTAGAGACACAGGTATCACAGGAAACGCAGGGGTCACTAGAGACACAGGTATCACAGGAGACACAGGGGTCACTAGAGAAACAGGTATCACAGGAGACACAGGGGTCACTAGAGACACAGGGGTCACTAGAGACACAGGGATCACAGAGACACAGGGATCACTAGAGACAGGGGTCACTAGAGACACAGGGATCACAGGAGACACAGGGGTCACTAGAGACACAGGGATCACAGGAGACACAGGGGTCACTAGAGACACAGGGATCACTAGAGACACAGGTATCATAGGAGACACAGGTATCACAGGAGACACAGGTATCACAGGAGACACAGGGATCACAGGAGACACAGGGATCACAGGAGACACTGGGGTCACTAGAGACACTGGGGTCACTAGAGACACTGGGGTCACTAGAGACACAGGTGTCACTGGAGACACAGGGATCACAGGAGACACAGGGATCACAGGAGACACTGGGGTCACTAGAGACACTGGGGTCACTAGAGACACAGGTGTCACTAGAGACACAGGGATCACAGGAGACACATGGGTCACCAGAGACACAGGTATCACAGAGACACAGGGATCACAGGAGACACAGGGATCACAGGAGACACAGGGATCACAGGAGACACAGGGATCACAGGAGACACTGGGGTCACTAGAGACACTGGGGTCACTAGAGACACT